TGTCGGCGGCGAACCCAGCGGGGAAGGCTCGGCCTCCTCCTCCTCCTCCTCCTCCTCCTCCTCCTCCTTCTCCACCTCTTCTCCTCCACCTCTTCTCCTCCTCCTCCTCCTCCTCTCCCTCCTCCTCCTCCTCCTCCTCCTCTCCTCCTCCTCTTCCCTCCTCCTCTTCCTCCTCCTCCTCCTCCTGCTCCTCCCACCTCCTCCTCCTCCTCCTCCTCCTCCTCCTCCTCCTCCTCTGCTCCCTCTCTCCTCCTCCTCGGAAGGCTCGCGCCCACCGGGACCTGCGCGCGGGATGAGGAACGAAAAACGTGAGTCGGGGCGAACCTAGCGAGGAAGGCTCGGCCTCCTCCTCCTCCTCCCTCTCCTCCTCCTCCTCCTCCCTCCTCCTCCTCTGCTCCTCCTTCTCCTCCTGCTCCTCCTCCTCCTCCTCCTCCACCTCTCCTCCTCCTCCTCCTCCTCCTCCTCCTCCTCCTCCTCCTCCTCCTCCTCCTCCTCCTCCTCTTCCTCCCCCTCCTCCTTCTCCTCCTGCTCCTCCGCCTTCTCCTCCTCCTGCTGCTCCTCGTCCTCCTCCTCCTCCTGCTGTTCCTCCTCCTCCTTCTCCTCGGAAGGCTTGGGGGTCCTCTGGGCTTCTGAGAGGTTCTCTAAGCCTTCTCCGAAGACAGAGGCGGCTTCTCAGAGGGCCAGAGGGCTTCTGAGAAGCCCCGCTGCCTTCTGAGAGGGCCTGCTCCCCCTCACCTTCCCCTCGGGCGCGCCGCCGAGCAAGACTCGAGTTTTGCCAGTCCCGGCACGAGTTCTGCCGGTCCAAGCCTCGTGAGACGTGAGCAGCGAGAGCCCAGATTTCAGACCATGGCGCGCCAGTTTTCTGACGGCCCCCGTCAGGCCATCTCGAGTCCCCCAAGCCCGAGTCTTCTGGTCGGACCGAGGTGTAAGATCGAGGTCGGTGCGGGGAGGGTACCCTCATGTTCTTCGTGCTCGTTGGGTGTCCTTGTGCCTCCTGGGGGAGGGCGCCTTCGCAGGCTCTTCAGTCTGGCCGGCGGAGGGCCTCATGTTCTGGAGGGATGTTCGTCTGTCCTATAAAGGTCCGGCCCTACGTCTCCCCGGGCACAGGGCTCCGCGTGCACCCCATCCCACGCCTGGCCAGGGCCCACCCTGGGCCCCAGTGGCCCCCAGCTGTGGGCGCTGCACTCTCTTCACGCCGCGCGGTGTCGCGGGGCTGGGCCCCGGGGCCAGCGCAGGTCGATGCGGCTCGGAACAAGCAGCAGGACGATGGGGTCCAGTGGAGGGCTCCCGTCGCGATCTCTCGTGCGGCTGCACTTTGCCTCCGCCCCGTCGGATCTCAGGGCATAGCAGGGTGAAGATGCCCTCCTGGCGTGGGCCACCGGGGGCATACCCGCACCCCGCCAGGGCCCAGGATGGCCCTGGCCAGGCAGGGCGGTGCCTGGCGGTGGTGGTGCCAAGGGGCCCTGCTGCCTCTATGTATAGGAGTTCCCTCCGGACGACGTGCTGCTCTTCAACGTGACCCTGCGCCGGGTCGGCTCCGCGGAGGCCCCCCGGGCGGGCGGCGCCGCCCAGTGAGCTCCGCCCCGGGCCTGCCGGAGTCCGGGGCGCCCGCGCGCCCGGCGCCGGTGGGCCCGCCAGCTCCTCCCTTCGGGCCGGCCACGGGAGTCCCTTGGGCGGCCCCTTCCGTGGGCCGACGGGGGGGGGGGTTCTTCGTGCAGGCGGCCAGCTATTGTGGCCTCGTGAGGGAGGTGAGGGAGGGGCCTGTTGTGAGGCAAGGGGCCCAGTGCTTCCCTTCCTGGGTGCTGGGCGCGCTTCTGCTGCTTCCCCGGAATGGCTGCCGGGGCTGCTTCGGGCCCGGCTGGGTACGTGGGATTCTTGCCTGGAAGCCAGGCCCGCGCCCACGGAACGGAGGCTGCACACGGGCCCCATCTGGATCTCACTTCCCAGGCATGCCCGGAAGCCGGATATACACATGAGCGACGCGCACAGAAGCGGGGTGGTCTGCGCCGACAGGGGCGCGTCAGCTGCCCGCGGGAGGTCGCGCGCGAGCGCCCTCGCCTTCCATGGAGCGTGCCGCGCTGGCCCATCCGCGCGTATCTCACATGGTGCGGCCTGCCTGGGTGCGAGGTGGACGCGACGTGTGGCCGCGAGTCTCTCCAGCGCCCGGCCTCGTGTGGCCGCGGCCGCCCGTCCCGGCCGCCGCACGCGCGCGCGCGGGCTCCGCGGGCTCCGCGTGCCTCGCAGGTGTGAATCCAGCCGCGTGCGTCTCCAGCCTCCTGTCGGCGGCGGGCGCAGGGGGGGGGCAAGCGAGAAGGAGAAGGCCTCCCCGGAAGGCGGCGGGGCTTCTCGGGAGGCGGCGGGGCCTCTCGGAGGCCCCCCGGCCTTCTCTGGGAGGAGTTTGCCGTGCCTTCGGGGCAGGCTCAGACAACTCCTCACAAGGCCGCGGGACTCTCCGAGAGCCTTCTGAGCAGGGCCCGCCCCTTCTCGCCTCCTCCCCGGGCGCGCCGCCTATCCGCTGAGGGGCCCCCGCTCCGTGCGCGCCAGGGGCCCGCCATGCCACGTGAGCGGCGTGCACAGGCGCGGCCGGCCTCGCACAGGCGGCCCGCGTGAGGTCGCGCGCGGGCGCCCTCTTCTCCACGCGGTGTGCCGCGCGGGCGGCCTTCGGAAGCCGCCGCGCGAGGCCGCCCTCTCTCGGCGGCGAGCCCCGCTCCGAAGGCGCAGTGCTCTGGGCCTTCCCCCGTGCAGTCGCAGCACACTTCTCTCAGAGAAGGCGCGAGGGCTCCCAGATGGGGTCCGAGCAGATGGGGTCGGAGGATCGCGCCGCATCGCCGATGCATCGCCGACGCGGCTCGATGTGGAGACCGTGTTTCCCCGCGGCGACGGCGCCGGTGCGTTGCCGCCGTCGCCGCCGAGGGGTTCCCCCCCCCCCCCCCCCCCTCGTCGCCCCCTGCGGCTCTCCCCCCCCCACCCCCACGCACGGCCCCCCCCCCCCTTTCGGAGGACGCTTTCTGGCTGGCGAGGAGGAGGAGGAGAGGAGGAGAGGAGGAGGAGGAGGAGGAGGAGGAGGAGGAGGAGGAGGAGGAGGAGGAGAGAGGAGGAGGAGGAGAGGAGGAGGAGGAGGAGGAGGAGGAGAGGAGGAGGAGGAGGAGAGAGGAGGAGGAGGAGAGGAGGAGGAGGAGGGAGGAGGAGGAGGGAGGAGGAGGAGAGGAGGATGAGGAGGAGAGGAGGAGGAGGAGAGGAGGAGGAGGAGAGGAGGAGGAGGAGGAGGGAGGAGAGGAGGAGGAGGAGGAGGAGGAGGAGAGGAGGAGGAGGAGGAGGAGGAGAGGAGGAGGAGGGGAGGAGGAGGGGAGGAGGAGGAGGAGGAGAGAGGAGGAGAGAGGAGGAGGAGGAGGAGGAGAGAGGAGGAGGAGGAGAGAGGAGGAGGAGGAGGAGGAGGAGGGAGGAGAGAGAGAGGAGGAGAGGAGGAGGAGGAGGAGAGGAGGAGTGAGGAGGAGGAGGAGGGGGAGCCGGGGGCTCCCTGGCCGGCCAGCTCTCCCCCGCCCCTCCCGCGCAGCGCTTCTGACCCGCGCCGGCGGCCCGCGCGGCGGGGGGGCCGCGCCCCAGGTGGCGCGCCGCCACATCGGCCACATAAGTCGAGCGGTCCGGGGGGCCGGCGGCTCGAGAGTCAAGAGAAGAGAGAGAAGAAAAGGAGGCAGCGCTGCCAGGAAGGAGAAGGACGGCACCTCCGAGGAGCGGGCAGAGTTCTTGGCCTCCTCGATGGGGCCCGAGTAGGTGGGGTCGGCGGCTCGGACCGAAAAACGGCATCGCTGCGAGGAAGGCCAAGGACGGCACCTCCGAGGAGCGTGCAAAATTCTAGGCCTCCTCGATGGCGCCCGATTAGATGGGGTCGGAGGATCGCGCCGCATCGCCGATGCATCGGCGACGCATCGGCGATGCGGCTCGACGTGGAGCCCGATTCTCTTCGCGCCGACGTCGCCGATGCATCGCCCACGTCGACGATGCATCGCCGACGCAGCCGACCCCATCCACTCGGACCCCGTCTAGGAGGCCTCCAAAAAAGAAGACATCTCCGAGGAATGGGCAAAGTACCGTTCCGAGGCACCAACCTTGACCGAGTAAGAACCCCTTACCGTCGGCCCGGATTAGTAGGTCGACCCTGACAGCTCAAGGGTACCCTTGTGTCCTGTGCCTCGCGACACGTGCCTTCTTACACTCCTATGGCTATGTGGCCCTCGGAAGGGTCTTGTGTCCTCTCGCGTGTCCTGTCCAATCAAGGCCGACTGTAGGCAAGCCGAATTGGGGAAAGAGAGAAAAAGAAGGCCTCGACGCCAGGAAGAACATGGGGTCCTGGGAAGCAGGCGTCATGAGGTCTTGCACTGTCCTCGACTTCCTGGGGCCGTCCCTGCGGGGCCCTGGGACTGTCAACAAAAACGCTTCAGGAGGAACGCTCCGACTCCCCCCCATGGGGTCCTCATGGCCTTCTTTCCACGTGCCAACTTCGGAGGTCTGGATTGGTTCTCGTCGGACGGGGCTAGGACGAGGATAAATCCGTTCCAGAGCGTTCCGGAACGCTCTGAGAAGGCCGCAGCGCCCGAGACATCCTCCAGAGCCGCCAGATCTCAGAGATTCCCGCTATACCTCCACCCGATGTTATCCTCGCCTTGGCTTCGTCATATCTCGAGCATCGCATCTTCCTTGAATCTTCGAAGATGCGGTGGACTCCAGATTTTTGGGTGTGCGCGGGACAGGCGCATCTCGTGTCCCTCTCCGATCCTTGACGCTTCGCGCATCCCCACCAACCCATCCAGCAGCCATTCCCAGGCGGAGGGGCGAGGGGCGGAGGGGGAGGAGGAGCAGGAGCAGGAGCAGGAGGAGGAGGAGGAGGAGAAGGAGGAGGAGGAGGAGGAGGAGGACCAGTGCAGACCCAAGACTCATCAACGATATTGCAAAAAACCCTCTCTCCAAGTTCCCTTTACATAGGCCCCTATAAGGGTTCATTTTCACTCAGGAAAATGCCCGGTCGGAAGACAACCGTTCGAAATCTGGAACTATGCCAGAACACCAGCCCTGGGATTTCAGCGCCGCGAAACGCCGTTACTGTTGCGTCTTGACCATCCTGAATCTTGCTAGAACACCATTCCTGGGACTTCTACGCCACCGCGAATCAAACGTGACTGTTGCGCCCTGACGTTCCAACATGCTGCCAAAGCACAAATTCTGGGATGTCAGCCATGTGAACCCTTGAAACGGTTGCAAACTCTTGAACCGAATGTGGACGGCGCTAGGACGAGAGACCACATTCTCAAGACCACCCGCCCTCCATCCGTGAAACTGTTGCAGACTTTTAGGGCGAATGCGTGCCGCGCCAAGGCGAGAACCGCATTGTGAAAACGACCCACCCTCTATCCGTGAAATTGCTGCGATCCTTTATCACGAAAGCTCGCAGTGCTAATGCGAGAGCCAAATTTTGAAAACCACCCTTCTTCCATCCGTGCAACTGTTGCAGACTTTTATGATGATTGCGCGCGGTGCTAAGGCGAGATCCACATGTTGAAGACCACCCGCCCTCCATCGGTGCAACTTTGGTTGCAACATTTCAGCTCTACGATCACACGTTGTGGTGAAGTCTCAGGCGAAACGTCATGTCCGCCCCTTCTACCGGCCTCAAGGTGCGACAGGGAGGAGATTCATTAGGAAAAGGGGTGGAGGAGGAGGAGGAGGAGGAGGAGGAGGAGGAGGAGGAGGAGGAGGAGGAGGAGGGGAAGAGGAGGAGGAGGAGGCGGAGGAGGAGGAGGAGGAGGCCGAGGAGGAGGAGGAGGCCGAGGAGGATAAGATGGATGAGGGGGACCTGTAGCTGGAGGAGGGGTGAGGGCCAGCAGCGTGAGGAGGGGGAGAGGCAGGAGGAGGGGGCGGAGGGCGAGCACCAGCGCTGTGCGGCGGCCAGGTGGGCGGACCCGCACCCAGAGAAGCAGCGCGTGACCACACGGGAACTCAAGTCCAAGGCCGTCGTCGCCGCTGCGTCGTCGTCGCCGCCGTCGTCGTCGTCGTCGTCGTCGTCGTCGTCGTCGTCGTCGCCGCCGTCGTCGTCGTCGTCGTCGTCGTCGCCGCCGAAGTCGTCGCTGCCGCCGTTGTTGTCGTTGCCGCCGCCGCCGCGACCATCGCCGCCGCCGCCGCCGCCGCCGCCGCCGCCGCCGTCGTCGTCGTCGTCGTCGTCGTCGTCGTCGTCGTCGTCGTCGTCGTCGTCGTCGTCGTCGTCGTCGTCTGCCGAGTCGGCCACGAGGCAGAGATCGGCGTTCCGACCCATTCCTCGCGCCGTTCCTCCGTGTGGGGGGGGTGCTCCCTCCCGACGGGCGATGCGGGGCCACCCGTCACGCCCGTCCGTCCCTCCAGAGTTCTTCGTCCCCTGAGGGGGGGCCCTCCCGAGGTTGGCCGTCCCTCCGTCCCTCCGTCCCCTGGAACGCTCTGAGAAGGCCGCAGCGCCCGAGACATCCTCCAGAGCCGCCAGATCTCAGAGATTCCCGCTATACCTCCACCCGATGTTATCCTCGCCTTGGCTTCGTCATATCTCGAGCATCGCATCTTCCTTGAATCTTCGAAGATGCGGTGGACTCCAGATTTTTGGGTGTGCGCGGGACAGGCGCATCTCGTGTCCCTCTCCGATCCTTGACGCTTCGCGCATCCCCACCAACCCATCCAGCAGCCATTCCCAGGCGGAGGGGCGAGGGGCGGAGGGGGAGGAGGAGCAGGAGCAGGAGCAGGAGGAGGAGGAGGAGAAGGAGGAGGAGGAGGAGGAGGAGGTGGGAGGGAGGAGGAGGAGGAGGAGGAGGAGAGGAGGAGGAGGAGGAGGGAGATGAGGAGAGAGGAGGAAGGAGGAGGAGGAGGGAGGAGGAGGAGGCGGGGAGAAGAGGAGGAGGAGGAGGAGGAGGAGTAGGAGGAGGAAGCGGAGGAGGAGGAGAACGGAAAGGGACCAGGGAGGAGCACGGAAAGAGATCGTGTCGGGGGCGCCTGTCTTTCTTTCCCTCCTTTGCTCCCCTCTCTGGGTCTTCCTTCTTCTCCCTGTGCGCTCCCATGGTCCCTGGGCCCTGGAGACTTTTTGCCCCCCTGTCCCGAGAATGGACTTGTGGACTCATGCGTGCACCCGATCGGCCACAGGCACATGGGGGGAGGGGGTTGGGGGCAGGAGGGAAGGCTTCTCGGAAGCACCCTTGCTTCTTGGAAGGCGCGGGTCTCGTCCGGGGATGTGGGGCCGGCGCTTTCTAAAAAGGGGCCTCCTTCTAAGAAGCCTCTTCCCCCATCCCCCGTACCCCCCTTGTGCGCGCGGCCAGCCCGTGCACCGAGGCCTTCGGCGGATTGTCCTGTTCAATCCCAGTGCCCTTTTTCCGTTTATGGGCTCTGGCGGCCCAGGGATCGTTTTCGGGCCCCAGGGCCACACCAGACCCTCTGGGGTGCGGAACCGCCTCCCTTTTCTCCTCCTGCTCGTCCTCCTCCTCCTCCTCCTGCTCCTCCTCCTGCTCCTCCTCCTTCTCCTGCTCCTCCTCCTCCTCCTGCGCCTCCTCCTCCTGCTCCTCCTGCTCCTCCTGCTCCTCCTGCTCCTCCTGCTCCTGCTCCTGCTCCTCCCTCCTCCTCCTCCTCCTCCTCCTCCTCCTCCTCCTCCTCCTCCTCCTCCCCCTCCTCCTCTGGGGCTTGCTGGGAGCCCGCGGGAGGGAGTCACAAGTCCGGGGGGTCCAGGGAGAGGGAGAGCGGGAAGGGCATGAACGGAAGGGGGGGGGGGGGAGCGGCCACGCGCAGAGGGTGGGCAGGGGGCAGGCGGGAGGGGGGGAGAGTTTCATAGAATTACGGGGAGAAACATTTTCAAACCTCGAAGCGTAGTCAGGGGACGATGTTTCGACGATTTAGTTTTCGTCCAGAATCCGCCTGTAGGGGGACATGCCGGACCTAAAGGCAGGAGGGAGGGGGGAATGCTTCGAAGAAGGAGGCTGCTGCCTAGAGGGCTCGGGCCTGGTGTATAGATGTCAAGTCGGCGCCTTCTAAAAAGCAGCCTCCTTCTAAGAAGCCTCTTCCCCTCCCCTACCCCCCTCTGCGCGCCGCCAAGTGGAGGTCCCTTCCCCTCATCCGCCGTCTCGGGAGGAAGGGGTGGAGAGGAGATGCGGGCGCAGATGTATACAGCAGCGCGAGATGCAGCCGCCAGAGATTTGTGTTAGGCGGTGTGGCAGGGGAGGATGCTTGCAGACTTGACGAGGAGATACAGTTTGCTGGGTGCACAGGGAGGAGGGCGTCAGGGGAGGGGGTGAACCAGACCCAAACCTCCGACGCCACGTTCTGTCCACGAGGGGAGCCCCGAGCTCCCGATTCTGACCGCGGCTTTCTGCCGCGACTCACTGACGTTGCCAACCAGCGCTCCTCGTGGCTTGTCCGCGATGCCTTTTGGACTGGGGAGGCAGTGGTAGGCAGTGTCGCCCACGATGCGATTCGCTGCGATTCGATTCGCGGGCTGGGGCCACGATTCCGATTCCATTCGATTCGATTTGACTCGATTCGGATTCGATTCGGGACGATTCTCTGGCGATCCAATCCGTTCCCGATCTGATCCAACTGCGCGATTCGATCCGGCTCAGGCCAGGAAGGGGCAGAGGGGTCTTGGCGAGTGGTCGGTTGGCCACCCGAAGGGCCAGTGGGGAGCAGAAG